AGAGAGAGAGAGAGAGAGAGAGAGAGAGAGAGAGAGAGAGAGAGAGAGAGAGAGAGAGTCCGAGGCGTAAATAATGATTGCATCAAACGACAAAATCGTCTTCAAAGTGCATAATCTACTACGTAAATCCCGCTCAATAATGTAAACACGTTAACTCTTGAGACGCATAAGACGCAAGTGCCATAAGACGCGACTTCTCTCACACAGAGTCATCGGGAGGAGAAAGAGAGAGAGAGAGAGAGATCGAGTTGTATATATATCTGAAATATAAATATTATATAACTTGGAATCTCGCGTTCAACGTCGAAAAACCGTCACCCTCTGGGAACAAACTTACTCCAGCAAATTTCAGAAGCAGCTCGGAATTGTTAATAAACTCGGAGACTTGGTTGATATCTCGGGGGGCTTTCCATACCGGTGACGCGCGCGCAGTGAAGCATTTTAAATTATATAGATTGTGTGCATGTGCGCGCGGCCGCTTGCCGCGCGCGCGGAAAATCAATATAATTCGAGAAGTTTCTCCGCGATGATGTGATTTCCAAGTTGCGCGATTATCCTCGAGATATCGTCGAAAACACGGGAATAAGTGAATTCGCGAATCGATCGTCGCGGACCGTCGCGCGCTAAGGGAGAAGCTAATCCTGACCGACAAAGTAAATCCGGAGCAATATAACGGACCCGAAATCGCGACGTGAAATCGCGACTCCGGCGACGAATCGCTTGAGAAATCGCGCTTCGAGAACCAGGGCGGGTTTATCTGGCCGCGTTGATCGCTGTTTCGGAAACTTAGATTATAGTCGTCTCACAGTGTAGAAGGCGATTAGGTTCCACGGTACGCCGGGGTGCAAATTGGTTCTTGCGTGGTTTGCTTGATTTATTGCTGTTTCGATCGACAACCGGATTGCTGCGTAATACATGCCTAATTACACAGTAAGGCGCCAGGTTGATAACCGTCTTTGTTACTTTGAAGTGTTCGGTGTATCAATGCCACTAGATGTAGATAAGTACGCGATATGCACTGCTGCTGATATTACATGAGTTCTGGATGATTGATTGCACTTACGTGCGAATCCTACGCTCGAGAATAACTTCGAATTAAAGAATTTAATAACACAAGAAGAGAAAACGTTTATATGTCAAAAAAGAAAAAAAAACAAATCGAACAAAGTGCAAATACTTAAAACAAATTTTACAAATGTCGAACTGACAAGGAAGTAACCATTGTCGTTATCGGTCGGGTGTTCCTCGTAAAACAAGTGATCAGGGTTCAACGGCATTAATAAATAAAAGAGTTACTTCGTTCGAGCGCTTTTCTTTCGATATCGATCACCGGGATTCCGTGTCGTAAATATATCATGGGAAACAAACAAAAGTTCGTGGAAGTTTTATGTACCGACGACGGGGAAATCGAAGGTAGAGAGAGGGTGTGGCCAAGAGAAAGAGAGAAAAAAAGAGAGAGAGAGAGAGAGAGAAGACGGAAAGAGCACGGAGGTCTAACTCGTATCCATTTACAAGTTTTAAATCGTTCCGCCGGTGTGCCTTTTGAAAGAAACCTTTTACCTTTATTCTCAATGCGCGATAAAATTCTGAAATGCGTTCGCCGGCCGCGGCGCGCGCGGCTTTTAAACGTTACCACGCGCCCGCACGGGTTTACAATGGCGGGGTCGCATTATACTCAAGAATCGGAGGGAGAACAAGAGTGGCGCAGGAAGAAACAAGAGGTCGACGAGCGGGTGACGAGGGTACAACGATGGGGGTAAAGAGAAGTGTTGCGCCCGCCGCTGTGGAAAGAGAACCGAGCCGCAAGAGCAAGAGAATTGCTACTTCGATTTCTTTGCACAAGACATCGCGGAATTGCGCCGCGACGGAGAATAAAAGTCTCGTGACGCACATCCAGACATCGACAGGACATCTCGCCGTAATAATAAGAGAGAGAGAAAGAGAGAGAAACATACCAAAGTTACACTTCGTAAATCTAGCGTAATGTATTTGAGTATAACCATTCAGGACGCCATTAAATGGTAATCGTTTTTGCTATTACCGGATTTGTTCGTCCATTCGCGCTCAGTTTTATGAAATCGTAAGATATCCAACGTTCGATTTGCATCCTCCGTCGAGGAAAAACGGAGAAAGAAAAATATCCTGTAATCTCGCGGCGGGAAAGCTGCGACAGTAATTTCGCGTCGTTAGGACCGCTTATGGATCAACAAAGAAGCTCTCTCGGAGGTTAAGAGAAGATATAGTCCACGAGAGAGGAGGGGAGAGGAAAAGTAGAGAGAGAGAGAATGAGCAAGGGATATCTCGAGGTGTTTTTTATTGAAATGAGCGCATCTGGTGTCCGACCGGGACTTGACCAGCTGAGCACGCATTTTTTCCTCGCTTCGTTCCAACCCCACAGGACCAGTTTCGGTCGGCGAAAGCAGTTACGGTCCCTTTGTACGTCGACGCCACGACGCGAAAATGGAGCTTTGTGGGGGAATAAATTCCCTTATGAAAATTCGAATTCAACGGTGGGGTACGTCCGCCGAGCCGCGATTTATTGAGATTCCTGCGAATCGCTGACCACGCTCCCGCACTCGCCCTGTCCCTTCCGGACCAGTTTTGAACGTTTTCAACACCATAAAAAAAAACAAAAGTGAAAATAAAAAGCATTCCGCAGCTTCGTGCGACGATTAAAGACTACAAAGGTTTTTTTTTTTAGTTTACTTAGAAATACCGCGTGTTTCTTTTTATTCATTGAAATATTTCAATGATAATATTAGTAGTTTTGTCTCTGCGGAGAGCGACGAGTATATATTTTACTGTTTTTGTATCCTCTCGGGGAATACGATTTCTTAATAATCTGCGATACACACACACACACACTCTCGCTTAAAAGAACAGGGACCATCAAGGAATGTCAACGGTATGTTAGTCGGTACCACGGAGTGCCGCGTCTGTAGAGAGAAAACCGTCAAAGTGATGGGAATAAGGGGGGAACGGGATAGTTAAATGTTACCGGTGTCAGGACATGGCCTTTGTGTTAGGGGAGCGCTTGGGTTCCGTGGAGTTAGCTAGAGACTGGCAGAGTACTATAAATTACATAAATGAAGTAAGCCCCTTCCGCGCTCAAACGGACGTCTTGCCAAGTTTATAACTTAATCACTCGTGCTACCCGTGGCAGTGGAGGAGGAGCTTAGGTGGATGAGAGGATGCGAGAGACAGAACGAAACGGTCGAAACGAGGCTGTGGTATGCGAGCACATTTAGTGACGGATAAGGGATAGAGAAGTGACATGAGAAAGAAGGAATCTCCGTCAAGGTCGAACGATTAACGGGTCTCAACCGGTTGAATAATTGAAATCGTTGCTTACGTTTCAGTTTGTGTTTAAATTACGAGCTATACTTACGCGTTTGCTCCTCGACAGTTATTCTAGCGCGAAAGTATGATAACTCTCTTAGTTTTATTTTACTCGATAACACGCACACACACACACACGCGCGCGCGCGCGCGTACTGTATTTCTCGCATTGTCTCGGATATATCTCGAGCTTAAATTACTAGATAGAAAAGAACGGCGGAGCGAGGAAAGAGCAAGATTAAAATCGCCTGAAGAGCAATGCAAAGTTTTTAATAACCCTTGATGCTTGATTAAGTTACGACTCTCTTCGCCGGCTCGCTCTCACTCCTTTCCGCCGTTCGTCTTCGGCCGTAATAAATTTCGCGGAGATTTAGCTTAGACCGCGTTCGAGCGGTGCGAGGGGAAGAAGCGCGGCTCGTTTGCTCCGTCAGTTAAATTAATGGAAATCTGGAGAGTGGGAAGAGAGAGAGAGGAGAGAAAAGAAGTTTTTATTCTCTGCGAACACATGAGATCGGGGAACTTGCGTTTGCTCCCTTGACAACATCGATTACTCCGATTTAAGATCATCTATGTGCATTTATTAGCGTGGATATATAGCGAGTCGGTCGAACTTGCAATCCTTCTCTAAAAAAGGATGCGTTAAAAATTTCATAGCGTGTTTTTCGCGATATTGATCGATTCTTTTTGCGGTTTTGCTTCGTATTTTATTGAGTCGCTGTCAAATGTGACGTTTGACGTGTCTGTTATGATAAATCATGCGGTCATAATAATTATCGTCGAGTGTTTATCACGCAAATATTTATCTGCCGCTCGCATAAATGTTCAAATATGTGTATAAGAATTAACGTCAAAGTTTAACGGCGATCTGTGTGTTTGTTTTTTTCCAGGCTTTGGATTTGTCACATTTCAAAGCGAGGATGTCGTCGACAAAGTCTGCGAGATCCACTTCCACGAAATAAACAACAAAATGGTGAGTTGCCAATCAGGAAAGTTTACTTGTAATAGCTAACTTTGTAGTGTACTACATCGTATTACTTTTTATAATACTATATATATATATATATATAGTATTATATTCGGTAATACATATTTCTAATTCCATATATATAACTAAACCTGTATCGCGCGCACGCGCTGATTAATTCAATTATTTTTTTTTTATATTTCATTCTTAGCAGTTTTTCTTTCTAGTTGTATACGAAATTTTTTTAAAAGCGGTTTAGTACTTAGCAAAAAAAATAACATAACTGTGATAAGTATTAATAAAAAAAAAACACATCAAGAAGAAATAATAAGTGTCTTTCATAACTACCTGTCAAGGACGATTCGTCATTTGTCATGAGTCACAAAATCTATATGCTAATTATAACAGTTTCCTCTTAAGTCCCGTTTCATCTGGCCGGCGTTTAGCACATCCGTGTGTGTTTCCTCAACCATTCTATCTAAACTTTCAAGGTCGAGTGCAAGAAGGCACAACCGAAGGAAGTGATGCTCCCAGCGAATCTGGCGAAGACGCGAGCGGCCAGCAGAGGCGCATACGGTGAGTTGGTGATGGTCGCGACACCCACCCCCGCCACGTATCGTTACGCGCCGTATCCCCTGCCGACGGCAGCTGCCGCCGCTGCTCATGCAGCCGCGGCGGCCACCGCCGGTCCTCCCCATCACCACTTGCTGGCTCCGATAGTCGCTACCGCCGCTCCCAGCGCGGCCGCTACCTATCAATACGCCGCCGGTGCAGCCGCGCCTACGGCCGCTGCGGCCGCCAACACCGCCGCGGCGGTCTACGACGTGAAACGTGCGATCGCGGCGGCGGCGGCGGCCGCAGCCGCGGCTTCTTACAGGCCGCATCCGGTCGCGGCCGCGTCCCGCGCCGCCGCGCTCACTTACTCTATGAGCGATCTGCTCGGTGTTCAGGGCCTCGACATGGGTGCCGTTTACCATCCGATACCGACGATTGGTCTATGACCAACGATACTCACTCCCCTCTCGCGGCCGCAGTAACCGCCGCTTGTTTAGGGACCCGTGCCGTTCGACTGTTATCTCATTTTATTCTACTCTTTATTTCTATATCTCGTTTCCTCCCGCGTTTAACGTTACGTTATCTCGACGGGACGTATCCCGTGTGCCGGTCGTATCGTGATTCGTGCACCTTTGCATTGTTTCGACGAACAACTTTTACAATCCGTACGTGCCAAAACGATCTAATGTGTAATAAAACGTGGGTTTAAAACGCAAACGCGAAATTTGATCGGTTATAGAGATTAGACATTCTGATGTGTGCCAAAGATAGATAGTTCGACTAGATTTAGATGGCACGCATAAATTACAAAGTTCAAGGCTCAAAATTTCGGCGAATAATAACGAAAATCAAAAAACATTTTTTTCAAAACCGTCGTGATTAGATTTAGACGACACTTTACACATTCCTCGCTTGAGACTGTTCTGTAGTCTTTGTTTTCTGAGAAAGAAAAATACATAAGTAGTCAACGAAGAAGAAAACTCGAAAGTATTAATTAATATTATATTATCAATTATATAATGATGATGAGACGACCGAACGCGTGATAGAGATTGATGTAAAGAAAAAAAAAGTGCAATATCGTAGGAGTTAAGAAGGTCGTTTGTATTTTATTTGCCGGTTCGAAATGCATATCGAAAACGCGATATTTCCGCGGAGCTGTTCGCGGTTGCGGCAATGTTCGACGAAACTGTGATCGTAGATGCAGAAGAGAAACGCGTAGCGAATTGCAGGGATTCACTCGGCGTAGTCACCTATGGGGCCTCATTTTCTCGTAGTGAAAATAAAGTAGTATGTGTATAGCATTTGAAAAAAAAACAAACGAAGAACAAAAGACTGGTAGATATTTTGTAGGTAATTAGTTAACGCAGGTAGTAGGACAATAAACAAAGTGTTCAAACGTAGAGAGAAAAAAAAAACGAAAAACGGACCGAAATATTTTAAACGTTTGCTCAATAGTAAGCTGCAGTCGCGTAACGTACGTGCATCTCCTTCAGGAAAGTGTCTTTGTAAACTGTAGTTTGTTAAAATTTGCAATAAATTGAAATTAAATCCGATTTTGATTTTTTTTTTTTTTTAATTAAGTGTTTAATTACTAAATTAAATGTAATTGTAAAGAAACGCATCTCCCTTTGTTAATAAAGACACAGGGAAGACAAACGTGTAACATACTATTCAGTGCAAGTTGTCACTCTAATTGAATTTCGATCATCCGCCGTATAATTAAGTTCCGAGCGTCCACTTGACACTTGCTACGCGCGCGCGCGGAAAGCACTTCAATTAAAATTTTGTGTGAAACTTAACGTCGACGTGTTGAAGCAACGGAGAGAAACGGGAGAAGAGGAAATCGGAAGGGAGACAGGTGAGCTCCCGTCGCGCAGCGATTTTCAGGTCAGTCCGAGGAGAATAGGGAAAACGTAGCGACAACTCTCCGATGGAGATCGTACGTTCGCTTCGGCGGCTGTCAATTCGTTGGGTAGAACCTAGTTGAAATTTTAGCGAGACACGCGAACATAGAAGATCTCTTAACGATAGAAATGGCCGTATGCGGAGGTTACGCGACGGAACCGGAGGGAAGGTAACAATAATTAGGAGCCGCGATATAGAGGATACAGTCGGAAAAAATCAGTCGCGTTTCGTGGCGTATTTTCGAACGTCGTCGTCCGGAACGGCAGAACATATTTTTTCGGGAATAGCTTGCTTCATATAATAGCGAAGCGCCACTCTTCGTCGAGGCCGTTGATTACGAATATTTTATCAGAAAACAGAAATGAAAAAAAAAGAGAGAGGGAGAGAAAGAGAGAGGAAACATTCCCAGGTAGCGGTCCGCCTCGTGTGCCGCTCGCGATACGAGCGATAATTGAAGGAAACCAATTAGTGGCGATGCCGACAAATTGTCGGCGATGCGGTGAGAGGGCGGTTAGCGCGACACGAGAGTTTGCAGCAAATGGTTGGCGACACGTGCACTTCTCATTTGTCGCGCCTTCTGGAATATTTTTCGCAAAGTGAAACTTCATGAAATTTCATAATGTCGAAGCAAGAAAGAAAAAACTCGGTGTTCTATACAAAAAAAAATTAAAAAAATAAATAAAAACAAAAGAAAAGAAAGAAAACGATATTAAGATACTCAGAAAAAGAGACGAACTCGGCATTATCCACATGTGTATATATATATATGCATACGTGAATCTATATCTATATATATACATACGCGTATACGTATAATATACTTAAATATATATATTCTATACTGGTATACAGAGTGTCTCAAAACAAGTGGATTTAGTTTTCTCGATAGATAATTAAAATGCAAAGCGAGAATACGGGACGGCACCGAAATAAATTGGTGACGAGAGTGAGAAAGAGAGAGAGAGAGAGAGAAAGAATATAGAATATATAGAGTTAATTATCACGCAGGATTTTGTTATTTCATATCTTATTTGAATATACGTCATTATAAAAAATAACAAACAACTCTCTCTCTCGAGTTATCTCACTGTTGAAAAAAAAAAAAGCACAGCCGGAAATTGTGAATATATCGCACGCACACGGTTTTCGGACACTCTGTATAGATAACGTACCTTAACGATCCATTATTATAGATTAACGCCAGACGAAATATTATATTGTTTTGTATCTTATACACCTATATATTTGGTAAAACGCCATAGTATTTGATATTGATACCAATATATATTTTGTGAGAGCCGCATTATATATATATATATCTTATAGTTTTTTGTAATAGATCGAAAACAGACATACATATCTCGGAGCCTATATTATCTATCTATTTATATATATACATATCTAGGTGAACTTAGGTAAACATTTGTGTTGTTATCAGACCTTAGATCATTATTAATTACTCTAGGCGCTCTATAGGTTCGATTTTAGTTAGAGAAAATGAGTGCGAATCAGTTTTTTGGGCGAATTTAATATACTATGTACACGTTCCTACCGTTGAGACTATTAGTGGACTATATAGCTTTTGGGAAGTCACTATGACATCGTTAGCTTAGATTATATACTCTTAGGCGTTTCTTCGTGGAAAATGCGGCCGCTCTCGCGATGTCACATCTTGAAAAAAAAAAAAAAAAAAAACGAAAAAAACTGAAAAAAATTGCGACGAAAGAGAGGTGAAGTTACAAGTCTTTCATAACATTCCCATCGCTGGTGTTTCGCGAGCACAGTTTTTTTTTCCGCAAAAATTGAAGTGAAAAAAAAAAAATCCTCCCCGGGCGTTTTCCACGAAGAATATGCATTACCAGCGGCTTCAAAGAGACCTATTAATTATTGTACCTATTACGTAACGAGCTACGTTACATAGTACGTTTATATTACGTTACACGTAATGTTATACCTTTCTATATAGGATACATATCTAAATATATATCGTGCGTATATCTGTCTATACCTAATGCCTCAAGAGTCTCCCGTATATCCCGTATCCACTCATATAATACTACTTTAGTACTTAACTCTCTTCTTAAGCCACCATAGCATCGTTTACCTTGATGATAATGCGTGATACATGTGTCCTAGAAAGTACATACATTTAGCCCGCGAGAGGCGCAACACTGTCAGTTTTCGTAAGTAGACCAGATATGTCGAGGATCTCGGTTTCCCGTTCTTGTTGTTATATGATAGTATATTATATATATATATATACGCTCAGCCGGGCCGGATATTGGTTTCACGAATTACACATGTGTGTGTATATACTTAAAAAAAATATATATATATCTATATAAAATATTCCGACGATACAATGCATTTGTGTCTTAAATAATTTTTGTTGTAAACGGGGACGCAGAACGCGACTCGACGAAACACACCAACCTGCACCCCCCTTTCCGATACACGGCCTCGCGAACGTTCTCCTCCCGCGAGATGAGACGCATCAAAGGGGAGGCACATAAAATTCTCCAGTAGCTCAATGAATTTCACGTTGCCGAAGCCATCGATGTGACGTAAACGTTAATCGACCGGCAACTCGATCGTAAACTCGAGCCGGGAGGGGCTTTATGCGCTCCTCTCGGAACTGCGAGAGACTGTTAACGTTAATGTCGTACGCGTAAACGTCTGCTCTACGTGAGATCGATATGTTGCATCCGAGAAAATACACAGATGCACACGCCATGTATATGTGTAGAAAGCACGCGCGCGACATTATTTATTCACGTGTTTCGAATAAAGAGCGACTAAGATATAATATATACATATAATATCGCAAAAATGAGAATAAATCTTATCGCAAATCAAAAAACAGTAATAATAATAATAATAAAATGCGAGATAGTGCTCGACGTGTATATGAAAATTTTGATTGTAGCTCGCAAGAGAGTTTTCGTTAAACTAATTAAGACAGAGAAAAACAGAGTGTAAAACACGATAGTAAAACAAAAAACAAAAAAAAAAAAAATACCATTGAGCGCTTGACGTAATCAAAACCAGCCCGGTAGAGAGACTTTAGGTACGAAATCACTAATACTATTAATATGTATATCAGTGTATATCTTAATGGCTAGAATAAACGCTCTTATATACTTTTTCCATCTGCGTATATTGTGAGACGCAACGTCGATATGGACACTAGTATAGTGAGTCAGTAGTGTAGTATTGTGGTCGGTGTTTTTTTCAATATTGTATCGTCAATATATAAGTGTGGTAGTAGTGTCGATACTATGCCACGCGTGCGACACGAAAGAGAAACATATGCGTGCATATATGATATGAAAAAAGCGCGCTATCGCGCGGTATACATATATTAGTTTATATTATTAGTTATCGTTGCACGCTCACAGTTTGCTAAACTCTGTTTGAGACAGTCGCGAGGACGTTGTGCAGTGGCATACTACCGACCCTTAGTCAATATCTAATAAGCTATATAGAAAGCCTAGCAAATATTACTTAACGGTAAATAATTAACCAATACCTTTGTGGAGGCTACAATAACCATAGCTCATAGGAGGGTTTATTTTGTCGTAGATTGGATTACACCTCGGCCGCGCGTAGTTATTAGTACCTTGTCACACAGTTTAGTCGATGCGCTATATAGTCGATGCGATATATACATATATACATAGTGAGAATCTTAGTTGTGTGGTCTTTTTGGATTAGTATCGAATTATGAAATTTCATGGATGCCTTGATCTCTATCATTCTTTTTCTCTCATTCTTCTTTCTCTCTTTCTTTCTCTCTACTTCTTTCCTTCTTTATATCACTTTATCTCTATCTATCTATCTATCTCTCTCTCTCTCTCTCTCTCTTCACACATTTTCTTTCTCCTTTTTGATTAAATCTAGAAAGCTTCTACTCCTACTCTTCTTATCTTCTTTTTTCTCTTTACGTTCTCTTTATCGTTTTTTAAAACCTAGTCACATCCGGTACACTCAAGTCGTTTAATCCCGACGAATTTCTGCAACGCTTTCGCTTCATACATTATTATTATTATAAACTTATCTCTCTCCATGTACATATTCTTAAATGTTTCTACGCCTACGTACCTTCGCCTGCACGAGGAAAAATATTGGTCCTGCGTTTAACGTAACTTCGCGGAAATAATTGACACACGCGCCATGTGTTATTTCTTGTCGTGAAGTCTCGATTTAATTCGCGTTCGCGCGCGAACGATCAATATCTTTCTTCGCACATGGTTGCAGAAATTTCGATGGAGACCTTGAAATCTCGTTTGCACACACCAATGCAATATGAAACACGCAATACGAACGAAGGGAAGAAAATTAAAGACAAACAGTTTAAAGAAAAAAAAAAAGAAAAAAAAAGAAAGAGTTACTCACTACACATTAATCTACATATGTCGAATCTACCATTAATCGAGTTTATTTTTCCTTATAGATTTTATGTGGTCCTTGGGAGCATTACCTGATGGTAAGTATATAAAATATATGTACGGACTTATCTCTGTACTCGATATCTACTAACAGCCGCGCTACTATGGCCGCGACGAATATTCCATAGATAAAGTAATATACCGCGTACGGTAAACGATACGTAACTCGCGAGCATTAATACGTAAAAAGTCATTTATTTCGTTATTTCCGCGCGCGTATATAATTTCTATTATCCGTAACGTAGTTTTCAATTTACATGGAATTAGTGCGTTATCGACATTATATATTATATAAAAGTGTAACAACAACATTTTACATATAAAAGAGCGATCACACAAAGCAGTCATTTGAAGGTAAAACCGACACGATCCGCACCGGGGTAATCGACAGAACGAGCGCAAATTTTGCAAAGAGAATGCACATGTACACACATATTCATAGAAGTATAATGAAAATTTTCGGTATGTTTGCAGGTTTCCCAGCGGCAGCGTACGCGGCATACGCGGCGGGCCGCGGCTATTCTGGGTACCCTAGTTTCGGATTACCCTACCCGACAGGTAACCACCTTAGCCTTAACCACCTTAACCACCACAATGCGGCCCACATCGCGCCCCTGAACTTGAACTTGAACCTCATACAGCCTGCGCCTCACCATAATCCGCCCACCCCGACGCCGCTCTTTTACCATCCCAATCTGGACCTCTACAACGCCATGCCTCTGTGAACTAACTCATCAATTAACGATATCAATTCGAGCTGTGCGCGCACTTTAACCTATCGCTATACATGCTAATGATTGATTGTGCTGTCGCTTCTCGTCCACCTGAATCCCATCGCGACGAGAGAGCGTGTCGCGCCGTGATTACCACCACCACGCCGGTCGAAGGAGAGACACAGTTCCTCTCCGTATTCCCGCGAGAAAACTCCTGCGCGGCTGGTAGATCGCGCAGACAAGACAATATCGTTCCCGACCGACGATGATCCCCCGCAGGATCGCGCATTTCCTCGCGGAAAGTATATATTTAATTTCCGCGAGGACAAGCGGCTCTCGTCGCCGCTCTCGAGAACAAAAAACGCCCAAGCAGTGCCGTTTAAACGCCACTGCTATACTACCATACCAAAACTTCTCTTTGCACGGGAAGAAGAGAGAAGAGAATGAAATTCCTTGATGCGCGGATGATTTCTCTGCTTTAAAGCGAAGTGGGGGAGGGAGAGGGAGCGCTCTGATTCCGCAAAGTTTCGCGCCGTTCTCCGACGGCGTGAGAGCCAGAACAGGACGGAGCAAAGAAGGAAGCGAAGAGAACGGGAAAAGGCGAAAAATGCTGCGTCGTGAGAAACTTCGCTTGGTTTTACGGTGATATTCGGAGAGATAAATTATTAATGTCGAGTAGTGTCAGCTCGCGCCAGCGTGTTCGCTCGGCTGTGCGAAATATCGACTCGCTTCTCTCTTTCTCTCTCTCTATGAAAAAGTTTGTACATTATTGGAGTGCTTATCCGATACTTGCCGCGATTTCGGTTCGCGTGTGTTTTTTTTGTTTTTTTTTGTTTTTTTGTTTTTTTTACAACGCGCCATCCCTTTGTAGGAAGTGATAATCGTACAACTCGACGAGTGTGTTGTACGCGCGCGTTTTTTTGTCTCGCGTCGTTCGACGCATCAAAAGCATTGAAAAACTTGTTTCTTATCATCGATACTGTGTGCGTGTGTACTGATGAGCACATCTTTTATTCTACACTTGATATTTGCGTATCAATTAGCAAGTTTTTCGAAATGAAAAATTCACGACGCACCGGCAGTTTATTATACATATCGTTCCTTTTTTTACCGCATTTTTAGATTTGACATTTTGTTAAAGAACAATGGATTCCATAGGGTATAAATAATCTATTCCCCCCTTTTCCATTCAGCGGTAGACAATAAATCATCGGGCGTTTGCGAAAACGTGGCGCTACACCCGTGGATTCGGAATTTATTGAACTGTTATAGCTACGGTGTGTACTATCGAGACTTTCTCTTGTGCGGGAAGGCTATAATTTTTAAAGAATTCAAAATCGTTTTGTATATCGGAGCAAAAAGAAAATAGAGAAACGCGCGCGTATATAAACAAACCGGGGGCGTATAGATCATACCAAGTGTAAAACGGTTCGCAGAAGTATTCGAGCGATTTCATTCAATTTATAAGTGTATTACCATTCGAATACTTTTGGTGAACCACTCTATGTGAAATCAATCATTCCCTTTAACGGCGAATGCATCCCAATAGCAATTTCAATAAAAGCAAATATCCAATCAATGTCCGAATTCATCAGTACATGCTATTAAACACTGAAAGAGAAAACACAGCCCGTAAAAGTTATTAGAAAATTCTTTTATGGTTTTTTTTTTTGTAAACGTTTATTAGTCAAATCTACAGCGTGCGGTAAAACCAATAGTCCATATTTTGCGACAACATTGATATTTCGAGAACACGATTGTACGCTTGACGTCGTAAAATCGATCGCGGTCTATAAAATGCACGCGGGAAGGAGCGCGGGATGAAATGTCATTGTTGATTACCCCCCCGACGGGGAGGGGTAAAGACGAGTGCCTATCGATTGACAATGATACGCGAGGGGAACCGCATCGCGGCCCACTCAAAATGCACAAATAACATATAACAATGGGAGCGCGTACATGCGGCTCCGGCGATTAATAGGATGCCTATATAGAAACCGAACATATCCACCTTTCGATATTAATCCGCTGAAATCGAAACGAACGATAGTTTGCAAAACAGACCTTTCGAGATCAGATTTAAGTCAATCAATCATTTCAGATTTCGCCCTCGCAAACAATTACATTTGCGTATCGTTTGCACGTTTCTGTTATTTTCACACATTTTTTTGCGATATTAAATAGTTATCGTTGCGTTTTAAATAGTTAGTTTTCAAATTTATCTTGATATTGACTTATTATTTCACAAATCGTTATTTGATTTTGTTATCGAATTTGAGAGAAATGGGAAAAAAACGCAATACATATCAAATATACCAAATGCGCATTCAATGATATTGAAATCTACGCTTCACTAATTAAAAGAGTGAAATAAAAACCAACATAAAAATCGTATAAACGACTATGACGCTTTTATCGATTTCGCTTCAAAACTTTTTGTCTTGTATTTTTGTTTTGAATCTTATATTTTGTTTTCGTAACGCGTCTGTGAAATATTTTTCACGCATTCTCAGCGTCGGACAAACTGCGACCGATGCCCCATCGCGATTAATTAATGCAGCAAACAGCTTACCTGTCGGGATTAAGTTCGACAATATCGCATCAAGATTGCACGCAGGAACTGCTTTTTCAGAAAAGACAAAAAATTGCGACCTCTTTCACCGAAGAATCCGAACTTACTACTGTGCTGAAGTACGTCGATTCTTGGAATAACATACTGAGATGCTAGGAAAACATTTCATAAATAATGTATAATGTTTTTCGGACATTGACTCCTCCCCCTCAAAAAGAAATCACTCTCCTCACACCACACTTTCTATCTCAAACTGATCCTCACTTTTGTTCGGGAATGTGCTTTTAAAATCATTTCCAATTTTCCTCAACAACCGTTACTTAACGCATTTGCATAACTTCAGGACCATCTTTCCACTCTCTTGTGTCCGTTTCCAATTTCCCCTTCTCTTTTTCTTCCTCTCTTGTGTGTGTGCGTGCGTGCGTGCGTGTGTGTGTGTGTGTGTGTGTTATTGCGTACAGTTCACGAGGCATGGCGATAGAAGGAAAACTGGATATCATCCGCGATGATTGATCGCCAAAGAGGAGAACTCCGCACCCGCTACTCCCACTCTTTCTCCGTGTCGGTCTCCCTCAATGTATTCCCAATGTCCGAAAAACATTCGTCGGTTAAGCCACCCTCTTCGTAAACATCGAGTTAGAGGGGAAGGGCGATCTTCCTGGTATTGGAGTTTGAAAGATATTTCTGGTAGACGTATACTCGGGAAATATATTTGCTTCATGGAGAACTTCTTCGGTAAAAGAGTCTTTTGCTCGAACGTTCTCGAACCGCAAATATTCGAAGGCAAACGGTGATCGTGATTTAACGATCGTCGCTATAATAGACGATTCACCTTCGCGTCACGAAACAAAGGCGCCCAAATGAGAGCGGTGTGAGCCCGAATATAAACCCAACTCGTGTGTCTATTTGTGTATATTGATAAATAAAAAAATAAATACATAGAGTATCTCGTCGAAGAACTTATACAAATAAATGGAAAAACAAGAGTTTTGATTTGCGCAAATTTTAAGTCGTTCTCATAAACTTTATTTGATTAAAGTAAGTAAGATACGTAAATTGAACAGTATAAACGAAGGGGCATTGTTTTCGCAGTTTGTCTGTAATACGTTGGTAGAACACTTGCCAAAATTTGATTAAATTTGTCTTCAATTTGTCAGGTCCTTCGTAACTCCGCAATTTTGCTGATAAAGAGGGTAACGATGTGAGGGCGCGTCGCGTAACTGTAGTTTAAAGAAGATTAGCAAACGATTTAGGGACTTAAGGGACGATTAGGAAGCTGACGGGTAGCTTCAGGTGTCTTAGAACCGCCGCTCCTATTGACGGAAGGCGTGCCGGGCTACTTCTCCAAGTGTTAGAACAACTCGCCGAGTATATCGGGGATTCGAGCGCGTCGAGAGATTCGAGTAAAGGGGAAGAACGTTGCTTAATTCCCTAACGACGCGAGAATCATCGATAACAAAAGAGAAAAGAGAAACGAGAGAGAGAGAGAGAGAGAGAGAGAGAAAGAGAGGAAAGAGACGAGTCTTCAACGACCTGTCGCTTTCACGATACGTACTAATAACTCTCTTCGGTCGAATAGATCTCCTCGGTCTGATCGCGAAAGTAAAAAAAGGCCGGGATCTTTTTTAGCCAGTTGTGACCCCTTTCTTACAAAGGAATAACGAGCTGCAATGTTCTTCACATTTTTCTCGGGATAACACTGCTTGAGTAGACAGCGTAACGACGACGACACCGATTCCCTCTTAGAATGCAAAACGCAATAACGAGCTTCTTCTCCTTCTTATCCGAGAAAGAGAGAGGTAGTTTCCCGACGCTTCATTGGACATCAGTCGGTTTTTCGGACGAAGGGGCGCTTCTAGAGTTTTCTTTTCTTTCTTTTCCTTTCTCCGAGCTTACTCTGTTGATCCGCTTGCATGCTTTTTCGCGAATCCTCTCCATCCTCTTTCTCTCTTGACGGACCGACTATGAAGATCAATTCTGTTGCACGAGAATTGGGAGGAAGAGAAAAAAAAAAAGTTTTTCGTGCGAGAGTTTTGACCGGAAAAAATCGATTGGATTACTATTGCGATAGAGAATATTGGATATAGAATAATTTATATATCTATATAAATGAAATGTCATGTTGTTACTGCATTTATATCGGCGTGTAAGTACTTCGGATAGGGGTATATCGATTGACCGTGTCAGGCACAATGGCGTTCTCTCCGAAAACGCCCTTCCGACCCGGAATATCGCTACCTCGTACTCGATTCGATTAGAGAACGCGAGCGAAA